TTTTTTTTTTTTTTTTTTTTGATATTCTGATTTGCTGATTCAAAAAGTTATCTATGACATATTGCTCGTAATGGCAACCAGATTTCTTATCTGAGTGCATCTAAGCGCACACAAGAGATTTAACAAGTGAAATCACAGTTGACTCAACACGATAGCCTTTTTTTATAATTATTTGTTTATTCTTTTAGGAGGTGAAAGCTCTAAACAACGAAATACGCATTTTGAAGAAACTTAGTGACATAAGAATCGTGTCATATTATGGAAGTGAACAAAAAGATTGTTATCTTCATTTGTTTATGGAATTCATGGCTGGGGTAAGAGCTTACATGTGGTGTGGCTGTCGGGTTCCCTAATCGTAGTGCAATAGCCAGAACTACTTCAGTACTGTGTTTGTTTGTTCTTGTAATTTTCTCATAAGGAAATTGTATTAGTGCTTAACAATAAACATATAAATCTCAAAACATATACTGAGTTCTACATATTAATATCAAATCTGCAATGATAACTACGGGCTGAAATTTTACTACCTTTAACACTAAAAAATATAGTTTTCAAAGGAATACGAAAAGTCTAAGAAAAGTGCCTAATTATACGGAGAAAGTTTGTCTTTTATTGTCAGTAGGGTCAGCTTTTACTTCAAGTCAACTCGGGCAACAGAACTCGGGGTATAGGGTGATGCTGGGTGAAGGTTCACTCGTTTTAAAGGCGACTCAAGACTTCTCTCCATGTAAACAGACCATTTTAACAATAAGATAGTTTATTCTCCTGTTTTTGCCCTTTTTTGTTTCAGTAAGTAGCAATACCGCTGAAGCAATACGCTGAAGCAATACGCTAAAGCAATGCGCTGAAGATGATTCGAGTCTTTTAATGACCAAGAGAATGTGATCATAATCTCTTGTAATGACTCATTCGAAATCTATATGAATAGAAACTGCAAGAACTGTTCTGTGCCCAGTCATTGTTAAACAAGTTGTAGTCAGCTTCATGGTAAACTAGGTTGCCATAGGAACGATACAACCTGTTAATAAACATATCTTTTTAGCTCTGATCGCTTGTAATTCATTAATTTGTAAGGTTTGAAAAACGTTTTGTAGGTGGGGTTCACAGCCACTTTAAATTTTCAAAAATTTGAAATTGTTTAGTCTACTGATAACTGCTGAAAAGTGGAGGAAAAGGTTGTTGTTCATCGTGGTAGATGCACTATTAAACTCTAGTATCGTTTGTCTCACGATGTAGTCACTCGCGATGTAGATCGAGACGTTTCGACTGCTTACTGCTAGTCTTCTTCAGGCAATGAGGTCGACTTATATGTACGGTATCATTTACATCACGAAGGTTAGCTGTGATTGGTGCATTTCGATCCTCCCAGTTTCTAGCGTATGATTCACACCACTCTCACTCAGTAAAGCACGGTATTATGAAGTGTCGTACAACCGGGCTAAACGTCTTAAGATCAAACTATAAGTAATCACTGCAGAAAAGAAACATCTATCATCTGTACTTGTTTCTAACGGATATCCTTCCTCTTTTGTACAGAAGATCACAAAGGCAAGAATATCCCCAAAAAGAGAGCCCGTGGCAGAGTTTAAATCCACAGCCGTTTAACTTTATCTCCAGGGAGTATCGAAGCCTCTCCGCCGCTGCCTAGAACAACAAGCCATTCGCACCGTCTTCAAGTCTGACACCACACTTCGGTCACTCTTAGTGCGACCTAAGGACACCTTCGACCCAGCTAAACAAGATGGCGTAGTCTACAAGATTCCTTCCGAATGCAGCAAAGTCTACATCGGGGAAACGGGGAGACCAATGCAGGAGAGGATCAAAGAACACGACAGGGATATACGACTCCCCCGTACCCAGACTCCGCCGTTTCTGAACACGCCCACGAGACCGGCCACCATCCGATTTGGAACGAGGTCAAATTTATCTTTCGAGATCCTCACTGGTACGCACTTAGGGTCAAGGATGTTATCCACGTAAGACTTCACCTTAATAACATCAACAGGGATAGTGGAATTGAAATTCCTGAAGCATGGATGCCCACGATCAAAAGACGCAACAACAGGAGAACGGTATAACAGCGGACCGCTTAGGGAGCAGCTACTCGCCGGAACAATGGAACAATGGGAGGATCGAAATGCACCAATCGCAGCTGACCTTCGTGATGTAAATGGTACCGAGCAATCAGTCGACCTCATTGCCTGAAGAAGACTAGCATTTGCGATATACGTCCCTAGTGACTAAATCGTGAGACAAACGATACTACAGTTTATTATTACTGAAAAGAGCTGAAAATTCCTTCCAGCCTCCTTATTCATTGGGAGGAAAATACAATAATAATGTCAATGAATACTTAAAATCCAAATTAACGACTTAATAGTTCTTGTTGATGTCTACAGGGATCATTATCCGCCCACATAAAAAAGAGGGGAGTTCTCCCTGAGAGTGAATCAGGATGGTACACAAATCAAATGTTGCAAGGCATCAAATTTCTGCATTCACAGAACGTAATTCACCGAGATATAAAAGGTACGTTTCGTAAATTAAGTAAAGAGTATTCTGTTTTGTTGTTGTTGTTGTTGTTGTTGTTGTTTTTGGATTAGAAAACAATTAAACGTGAATATGGATCATGTCAGTAGTTTTCTTATGGCAAAACAACTAAATTTTTCTGTTTATAACTTTGCAACCTTACGAAATCAGAATTTTCTTTTAAAAGTGACAAAAGGATGGAATTTAGTTATCGTTGCAATTACATTTAATGAATTTCTCACTCCTACGTTAGGCGGCATTATAGTTTCTACTGGAACGTTTAGTAATCCCTGACAATGTCTTCAACCTTTTCCTATCTGTTCTACTTTCTCCACTGCTCTCTGTCATAACTGAGTATGTGGTTTAATATCGTTGCAACTGAGTAAAGGCTATTTTTGCTCCAAGATTTCTGCATTTGTTACTTTAGGATCGAATGTCCTTTTAGACGGAGAAGGAAATGTAAAACTAGCGGACTTCGGGCTGTCAAAAATGATTCAGGTACTGATAGTGTAATGTATGCAGAAGTTACTAACATACACAGTGCTTAACAGCCATCAATAGTGGGGGCTAAAATGTTTCAGGCACTGATAGTGTAATGTATGCAGAAGTTACTAACATACACAGTGCTGAACAGCCATAGTAGGGGCTAAATAGCTATCTTCTGCTTGAAAGATTTTTCGCTCTCGATTTCACCTCATGATCATGGAAATCGCGAGCTTGAATTAATCTAATTTTAAATTAGTACGAACCAAACCAGCGGATACTGCTTTTCATGTATTCTGATTGGCCACTCAAACTCGGAATAGTGTTTGGTATTCACCTTCCAGCTCGCGAGAGTCGTGAGCAAAATGGTTTCTTGGTTTACTACCGTAACAGATCAAGAAAGTCGCTTAATGCAATTCGACAATTTATTCGTACTTGAACTGTCCTCGAACTTATTGGGAATAATTTCGTATGACAACTGATAGGTGAATGAACATGATGTTTCATGACAACCTCATTTTGACAGACATCCTTTTTTCAAATTGTCAATTTTCCTATCTAATTCATAACGAAAAAAATTAATTTAGTTGCAGTAACTTTAACTTTGTTTGCATACCTTCACCTCTTTTATCGGTTTTGACTATTTTGAAAGTAGTCTTCATTGTATAATGCTTTCTAGAGATAATTGAATCCAAGAAGGGGATATCGATCACTGTAGCGTCATTTCTATATGTCACGATATAACGTCATCAATCAATGTTATGGACTCGGACTTTTGAAAGTACTAAATCCTCCATGTTTCATGGATCCTTTATATAGATTACGTCTATTGTTATAGCTTTAACAGCGAGTTTGAAAGGGCAAGAGCCACAAAAGCTCCTCTCCCCACTATCTCGCACTCCGTGTTCAACAAGGTCAAAAAATAGTCGGGTGGGAAAAGAATTAACAAAATAACCATTTCTCGTCCAACTTATTCTAGAAAGTTGGCAGTAAAACAAATTTGGTATCTTATTGCGGCACCCCGTACTGGATGGCACCAGAAATATTCTGGGGTAAAGGCTATGGACGGAAAGTAGATATTTGGTAGGTTTCATTCACAAGCAATGCTTTTCCTCTGATTTTTTTTTTTACAATGAATTAAAAAGGCACAATCTTAGGTGGAGACTAAAGAACGAATATGCATGTTCAGACACCAATATCGGACTTGGACCCTTGCACACAATCAAACCGAAGCAGGACTTTCTGGCAACTGCTTCTGAAGTTGCCTGAGTGTGAGGCACTCAGTCACCGCTGACCGAAAACGGACTGTCTCAGGGAACGTAAATGGTGTACTTCTGTGTGATCTCGTATGATGAGTTCACTTGTAAACTTTTATCGTTTTAATGCTTGTAGAAGTGATTTATTTGAAGGCATGAGTCAATGGGTTAAGGCTTCTTCTGTGAACCCGCAGTAATATACAGTTATAAGATTCGCCAGGTTTTGCCAAAGTGGTATTCCTTAACTTCAGAATGTGTAACGGTTTTTTTTTTTTTGTCAGTTTTGTTTATTGTTTGTTTGTTTGTTTGTTTGTTATTTAAGGAGTCTAGGTTGCACAGTTGTCGAAATGTTAACAGGGAAACCTCCTCTGGGTCATCTTGAGTCAGCGGCGGCCATGTTTAGGATTGGCTCCAAACCCATCGAGCCTACGCTGCCAGAGAATGTATCATTAGATGCAAAAGAGTTTGTTAAGGCTGCTTTGACCTGGTTAGTACTATTTAGAAAATAGCTGAGACACTACTTGCGCTCTGATTGGTCAAAAACGTATCGTTTATTGCACCGGTAAACACAAGGTTTCCGACACGGAGCAGACTACACGCAACACTACTGGCTGATATATCAATAACACGAATAACATCTTATACAACAAGCACATAGAAATTTGTAAGGAAAAACAGGACCAGAATTTGGTCGTGATGTAAGCTTGAACTTAATGCTTGATTTTCCATAGCCAAACTTTTATGCTGATTCTGTTTACGCTTGAGTTTAGAAGTAAGCTTTAAGACGAAATCCGAGAGTAAATCGACAAATTTTAGTTTTTAGTGGACAAAAATCAGTACCAGAATAATTTTAATTATTTTACAGTCCTTTTTACATTTTCTTAAAGCTAAAGATATAAATATTTACCTGAAATAACACCGAAAACAATTCCCCATGGTAACAAGAGAAAATATATTTCAAAGTTTAGAGAAATTGTGCAAACACAGGTAAAATTTCATCACCAGGTTCATTTCACCAGTACTTTTAAGTCTTTCATACGAAGTTCAACATTTGTTTTCGACGTTTGGTGTTGCTGGAAATGATTTCTTTTTTGAGAAGATATTTAAAACAGTCACACAGAAGTTTGCAATATGATTTAAATAATCTTCGTATTGACCACTTGTTACTCAAACTTCTGGTGGATTCCGTTTTAAGCTGTCTCAGTGCTTTCTACGGCCGTCTGTGGAGGACGCAGTCCTGACTACAGCTCGGCTAGACTGATCAATTTGGTTTGTCAAAAAAGCAAGGAAAAGATTTCTTTTAAGTTAACATTAAGTTTAATTACCAGTAGTTTTAAGTTTAAACTCAATGCACGCATCCATAACACAATAAATAAATTTGGTTGCCATTAAGCGTTCAAGCAGTAGTTTTCATTCAGCAAAATACAGAGAAGCACAGACTTCATAGCCTTCAACATAAGTAAATAAATTCTGAATAAATTTCAAAAAAGCGTTCTTAGAACTAACCTTTTTATTCCATTTGCAAAACTTTTTAAAGTCATCGTTGAATCACAACGTCAAGCGCCTGAAGTTTTTACTACTTGCAAACGTTTCATATAGTTTTCCTTTCGTGATAACTGATTCCGACCGCGAATTCCTGCATTTTCCCCTCAAAGTTCTTTTGAATTAATTAATACACTCTCTGTCTTTCAGCGATAACCTTTCCTTCCCTTTCCTAAAACATTTATAGCGCGTAATGTTTTCGTCGCTTTCCTCTGGGGATTTTGTGTCCGACGCCGAGCCTAAGCTTTCATTCTTTCAGCTTCTGCAATCCTGCGTAAGAAAGGAAATGGCGACTGGTATATTTACCCATAATTCTTAGCCCTGGAAAATTTTAACAACGCTCATAAAAACGTACAGAAAAGTCCTAAAGTCTTCAAACCTAGCGTACACAATGTTGTTAGCACAGGGACAAGTATCGCAAAAATATGGCTTTCCTGGTACAGTCCTGCCATTTGTTTTTTCCTACGGCGGATTGGTTTGCCGCGCTATCTCATGAATTTGTTGCGAATAAACAACTTGATCACGAAAGTACAATAAATTTCATTCTCTTTGACAAACATTTTCCATAGTTATTTCATAAAAGGCGGTGTTTGTCGAAGGACATTGTTACGATGCAGAGAGAGGCAGTACTAATAAATTTGGAAAGTAGAAAAAAATGATTGAAAAAAATTAACACCTAATTCGTTTTGTTGTTATTGTAGGAAACCTGACGAGCGACCTTGGTCCGATGAGTTGCAACGTTACAACTTCGTTTCTAAAGGTACAGCCACAGAAATCGACAGAACTGTTTTTTAACCTTTTTTCCAGTTGTCCATTAGACTATATTATAGCACATATATCATCTACAGCTACTTAAAGAGCTCATGGCACAAGTACAGCCCATTGGAAATAAAAACCTACATGAGGTTACTGGAATATCCGTTCAGCGTATGGTGCATGTTTTCGTTTTCAGCAACTAAATGATGCCCTACCTCATTTTACATAAGGCCGAAAAACTTGTCATCAGGAATTATTTTCGAAATATGACGTCTGGATCTCGGACTTGGCTTAATCTCATCGAGGGCCAAGTCTAAAAAAATCATCGTATGTTTTTTAATTCCCGCCCAAGTTAATAATTTTAGGGGCAAGTTTTGATAAAAAGCAAAATAACACCCCACACCAGTTGTATTCAAGGCAATGTTTCTGAAAATCAAACCGAGCGATTTCTCTGAGATTTTCACTCCAGGCAATTAGATGTTTTAAGATTCATTTAACACCATAATACCATTTCGTCAAGTCTTGTGGACACAGTTTGCAATAACATTTTAAAACAGCTCCGTTTTTGTTGTATTTTGACACCTTAAAACTTTACTCGCAATTTTCTCGAAAACGCTCGCACAGATCTTTTTTTAAATTTTGCCATCGTTAAGACAACTGTGTCAAGTCCGAGATCCCGCCGTCATATTTCGAAAATAAACTCTGATGGCAAGTTATTCGGTCTTATGTAAAATGGTGTGGCCAGGAGCCATAATCGGGGACGGAGACTGTAAGCGCGCGCTATTTCTAGTATTGGGGCTGTCCCTATGATATGGGACA